GCAGGAGTTGCCGTCACTACCAAACCTTGTGCAGGATGGAAATGGGGTCAGGAAAAGAGGGGAGCCGGCGAAGGGGACCTGTACAGGCTGCACCGTGGGGCATCCCCACATTTCAGGGAAAGAAGGGCAGAGGAGGCGTGAAACCCCCGTGCCCTCGGGCTGGCCGCCCACCCTCACGTTTCAGCGGCTCCGAAATACAACTGCAAAAGGCCCCTCGCGTCCACAGCGGGCTGGGCTGCTCGCAGGAGCCCCGGGAGGACTAAATCTGGCTCCAGCTTTATCAGCTCCCGCAGCGGTCATCAAATTAAAGGGCTCTGGTTCAAGCCTCAAAGGCAGAAAGGATGCTCTGCCGCGGCGGCTGCGCTGGCGGAGAGGTAAATGAGAGCACACGATGTGCGGGGAGATTGCAGGCGACGGGGTTTGATGAGATGAAGCTCGTGTTCTTTCTGAAGGGGGAAATTTAGCGTCAAAAAAAGGATCAGCGCTCAAGAAGGTGGTAAAAAGCGATGTACCTGAATATCCGAGGGCAGAAGAGAGCCGCTGCCTCATTATCTGCTTCACTGCCTCCTAATAGAAAGCCCCGTCTCCTTTATTAACAGGATCAATAAAACTCATTTCTCAATAGGTAATGAAATAGTACCTGTCCACTTACAGTAACGCAGGTAATTGATGAAAGCAGCTCTCGTCCTCCCCTGCGTGTCCCCTCGCCTCTCATTATCAGGTTCCCGGCAGAGGCACATCCATACATGGATGGCTCCTGTGAACAATACTCTGCGGAAAATACCGGAGCAGATGGCACTCCAACAGCCCGGCGACGCTCCCTGTGGCAAGGGACAGACGTACGGCTGGACAAACACCGGCCTCAGATGGGACGGTGGAAGATGTCTACGGAGGTGGAGGGCTGCCCTAACCCTGGGGACCGGGGGTCATACGAACCGCACGGCACCGGCCGGCCGTGCTAAAAACCCTGCGATGGTTTTGTTTGGATTTTTCTTTGAAGAATGGATTTAATATGGAGTAAATTGGATTTAACCTTTGCCGTAAATGGAGGCATTTGTTTCTTTGGGTCTCAGGGGGAGCTTTCATTAATTATTCCGAGCCCAGTGGCCAAGCTGGCAAGAAATTTGTTACCAAGGAAAAAAAAAAGCAACCCAGAGAGCGACTGCAGTATGGTTTTCACATACAACAGAAAAAAAATAACATATTTTAGCATTAGGGATTAAGAGCGAATTTTGCCACCTGAAATGTGTCTCTGAAAATGACAGGCACCGTGGGCGAGCTGCCTGCAGGACCCAGCTCCGGTGGGGACCCGCTGGTGCTGCAGGGCACCAGTGCCTGACATGGACTGGGCTCAATTCACTCCCGCTTGTGGTCCTCCCAGACCCCCAGTATGCCCACCGGCTGCCCCAAAACCCACCAGGGTGCAGAAGCCTTCCTCCCCCCAGGTGGCCTACCCGCAGCCTGGAGCTCCAGTCCAGCCCAGTCCACAGCCAGGGGCAAAGCCCCTTTCCCAGCAAAGGGTGTCCAGATTTCTCTTTTCTCCCAAGCAACACTGAGGTTGGACTGAGTCCAACCAAGTGCTTCATGGTCCTTCATCTTCTGGTTTGCTTCTCCAAGGGCTGGAGGTGCCAGGGTAGGGCTCCGGTGGCACCAGTTTGCAAAGACTTCTGCAAGGGACATGCCTGGAGCTCCTCAAAGACCATCAGGAGAAGCTGCTCAGATAAGTCCATGCCGGATGTAGGCAACAACCACAAAATCCCAGAATAGTGAGGGTGGGAAGGGCCCTCTGGAGCTCCCCCATCCCACCCCCCGCCAGAGCAGGGGCACCTCCAGCAGTGGCACAGGACGGCGTCCAGGCGGGTTTGGGATGGCTCCAGAGGGGGAGACTCCCCCACCTCTCTGGGCAGCCTGTGCCACTGCTCTGCCGCCCTCACAGCAGAGAAGGCCCTCCTCAGGTGGAGATGGAACTGCCTATGGTCGAGTCTGTGCCAATGCTGCTGATTCAGATCTGGGGCCGTTGGCAAAAACACCACTTCAGGTAAAGCATCAGTGAATTGTTTTCAGTGTTGAAGCCCTCACGTAAGATTTGATGTTGGGAACAGAAGCCATTTCTACATAAGTCTTTGGAAAAGGCAACAGCACCAACAAAAACCCACGTGTGAAGAAGAACACCAGCACAATTCTCCAAGTTCAGACATTTCTGGAAGGAAGACAGGGAGGAAAGGAGAAAAGGAGGACAGTGCTTTCCAGTGTACTTCAGTTTGCTAATTAAACTTTCATTTAAAAAAAAAAATGAATTCCTTTTAGGAAGGCAGTCATCCTCATGGGGAAATTGGTGAATCAGTTTCTCCCCTCTGTCTGTGGAGACAAATATGGGAGATGAAGGACAGGAAGAAATGCTGCACCGCAGGAAAACGCTGACCAAGCACAGGCACCTCCTGATGCTGATAGAGAGATGCAGGTGCCTTCATGTTTGCTGCAAAGAGGGCTCAGCAAATCGGCAGGAATTTCAGTAATAATGCACTGCACATTTTAGAGATGAAAGAATAGAAGGGATTTAACTGAGTTAGTCACAAAGCTCATTACCTTAATTTTTCATGTGAGGTTGCAACCTGCGAGGCAGCAGCGACGTGGCCGCGCCGGGGGGTCTGCAAAGAAAACTAGCCAGAAGGATGGACCTGGATCAGCACGAACTCACCCTGCAGTTGTTATTTCGTGGAAGCGATGATCGTAAAAGGGTATTATCGCCATGCCAAATCTCCCAAAGACTTCAGGCTGCGGGTCCGAACATGCCCTGGAGGAAATATAAAATGAGTCCAAGCAGACCATGTCCCGTCTCAAAAGCAACAAGATAAAATAAAGCTCAATGAGCCAAATATTTGGAATCTGGGGAAATTTCTAGGATTTAGGATATCTGATTGCTTTTGCTTTTACTGATGTTATTCTCTGTCTTTGCTGCTTTTCATGTTCACTCCCTTTTCTATTTTGCCTACGAGCAGAAGCCTCTTAATTTGGCTTTCTGAGATACTTCTCAATGCAGACAAATACACGTTTGGATATCTCAATGGTAGTTTTTCTAAATTTTAAATCTAAACTTCCCACTTCCTCATTTTAACACGTTGCTGAAACTAGCTGTGAACTTGCTGCTTGGATGACATCACTTACCAAAAGCAGAAGCACCGACTCTGAAATGAAGCCTGGGAACAGAAGACATTACTTGTGGCTGGAACTGGTCTGTTTCTGCTCTTCTCTATGTGTCCAAGGGAAAGAATTCCTTTTACGTTCATCAGTGCTCAAGATGCCTGGAAGAGGAGAAGAGATAAATGATTAGCATAATCTAAATAGAAAGATTTTCTTCATTCTTAGAGCCTTTGGGACACGCTCTCTTGGGAAATATTCCCAACTCAAATGGAATTCCGCTCCGTTCTTCACAGATCTCATATTGCTCTTGCGAAACACACGAAGCCTTTCAGAGTCATTAATTATGGTGTCAATACTCGTGCCGTGGGGAGAACACAGCAGGCGCCTTGGAAATACAGACAAATATTTAAAAAAACCACCAACCAACTATTAAACTTTCCTACCCAAGCTCTGCAGCGCAGTGAGAAGGGAACCATTTCACCTGCAAACACTCTGTGATGGCACCAGCACCACCAGCACCGACGGCCTCATCCCATTCCCCTCTCCTGCTGATCTGGATGAAGGTCCACTGGCATGAAACATAGGTATATATATAAAAAAAATGGTGCAGCAGCTCCACTCCAGCAGCAGGTACAGACCCGCAGACCGCTTGAAGGCTCTGCCAAAACTCCCCTTCCCACATTGCAGTCAGTCACGGTGATTTCTAGCAGGTAAAGGAGCACCTCACGTGCTTGGGAAAGGAAATGCAGTCCATAGAATTGCCAATAAATTTGATTTTGTCAGAACCAATAAATTGCCTAAAGAACAGAAAGCGCAACCCGTTCAAGTGCTTGGCCACCTTCTCCCATAGTGTGTCCGGTGGTTTGTGAAACACAGGTATCAGACCATAAAATTCCTTAGCAGTGTTTCACTACCCTGTTAAGCAGAATGTTTTAAGCAGTGGACTTGTGCAAATGCTGTGGTTTCCAGCTCCAGCCCATCATGGTGCCATGGTGGCCGTCGGCTCCAGCCTGGCCCTGCCGGCGGGACATCCAGCCCCCATCACACTCCAGCTTCACGCCTTGAGCTGCTGGAAAAGGCAAAGCCAAGGTCAGGTTCATGCAGGACACCGAGCGCTGCTGGTGTACCAAGAAATACCCACACTCATTGAGATTTTTTGAGACCCGACTGAGATGTGGGCTGTTCATCACTCTCTTGGTAGGACCAAGCCCAGGTCCCACTCCATCCCCTGCCCTGACCCTCTGCTGTACCCCCAGGTCGGCAGCACGGCGGGGCTGGGGGATGAGGAGATGCCAAGATGGCAGAGAGAGACACGTGCAAACCATTCACACACTCCAACCCAATAAATACGTGATGAAAGGCTTCGCATGCGATGGGGTGGTGGAACTGACCTGAACTTCTCATCAAATGAGATCCACAGCTGGGCTATAAATCATGGCGGGGAGCTGCGGAGCAGGGTGGACGTTCCCACTCCTTATACGGGACCCCGGAGGATCCTTTCCAGCTCATCTGCCAAAGGATGAATTCACAACAGCGTTGCTACTGCCAGAGTGATCATCTCAGCTATATATAGTGGTCTCCAGGGTGAGGAATTTACAAATCTAAATGAACTGATCATGGACAGTTACTTGAAGAAGTTAAGAAAAATATACGTCTGAGAAACCAGATGGGATTTGGTCTTGAGTGTGGAAGACAATCTGAACTTCATGCTGTTGTATCTTGGATAAATATTACTGCCACTAGGAACAGCAACACATTGCTAAGAGCAAAGCGCAGTTTAGTCTTGGATTTACAGATTTTCCTCAGAAAGTAGGTGTCCAATTTCTCAGGGAATTGGTGATCTTCCTCTGAAAATCACAGATTTGGCATCCAACAAATACTTCTACATACTTTAGAAATACATTTAAATAAACGTCGTCTAGTTTTAATAATTGCAGTGATGATGAATCAGGAAAAAAACAGAATTTTCTATGAAGGAGGGCTGGTGATTTAGGAACTAATTGTGTGCCGATGCAGCACTGCATTGAAGCTGGAGCGTTATCTGAGACACGCGTGCTGCCGATGCCCCGACAAACCTTCTCATGGCCTCTGAGGAGTCGCACCGTCAGCATCCCTGCTGCCCCGGGCTGGGTCCCACAGGGGGGTCTGTGGGTGAGGACATCCACAAATGATGGATGAGGACATCAGCTGAGAGGATGAGGACCCAGGAGGGGAGCGCAGGGAGCGGGCATCTTCCCACAGCAGCCCATTTTAGCAGTAGTCAAAAAAGTAGGGGAAAACAGATTTTTTTAGTTCCATCCCAAAAATGAGCACAGTGTTCCCCAGGGACAGAGGAGAAAAATGAGACACCTTTGTGCCCACCTCCATGTTAGGGCAGCTTCAAGTTCTCCCACTTGTCGCACCCAACTAAAAAGCTGTTCAGACTTAATTTATTCATCCCAAGTGACCTCGGTATTTAGTCAAGATACAGGTGAAATTCTAGCCACGCACTCCAGTTTCTTCATTAATTCTAGACACTTACATAGACTTATGATTTTTAGGCTTTTTAAGAGCAGCTTACTCAGCATTCCACATGCAAGAAATGTACCTGAAACATCTATTGACCAACACAATTAAAAGAGAGGAAATGATTGCAGACTCCTTTGTGATTTCTAAAAGATATCAATATCTATAACCATTAATTCATATTCAGCCTCTCAAGTACTGCGCATCAATCGGCAAACAAATTTTCGTTGTCAATAAATCAAGTAGTCTCAATTAATAAGCGTTGCTAATTGGATTTTTTTTTTCATTTTTTTCTTTCGGTCAATGGCAGGACTGCACCGCAAGGATGCACCACCTTTACCTGTGTGTGACCCACACAGTGGAGGGATGCACGGGGGTTGGTCTCTCACGTGCAGCTGGGAGAGGGTTCGGTGCTGCAGGGTCCCAGCGAGCCGGGAGTCCCTGAGCTTAAGTCTCTTCTCCATTTCACAAAAAAAAAGAAAATAAATTCTTCTTTCCATTTCTGCAACCCACATTGGAGACACGAGAGCGTTGCTCGCCCGTAGAGCGGTGGGCTCCTCACCACAAGAAGGACATTGAGGGGCCGGAGCATGTCCAGAGAAGGGCAACGGAGCTGTGAGGGGTCTGGAGCACACATCTGGTGAGGAGCGGCTGAGGGCCCTGGGGGTGTTCAGCCTGGAGAGGAGGAGGCTGAGGGGAGACCTTCTCGCTCTCTGCAGCTCCCTGAAACGAGGAGGTAGTGAGGGGGGGTCGGTCTCTTCTCCCAAGGAACAGGCGATGGGACAAGAGGAAACGGCCTCAAGGTGTGGCAGGGGAGGTTTAGATGGGATATTAGGAAACATTTTTTCACTGAAAGGGTTAAGCATTGGAACAGGCTGCCCAGGGAGGTGGTGGATTCGCCATACCTGGAGGTGTTTAAAAAAAGGGTAGATGTGGTACTTGGGGACATGGTTTAGAAGTGGTTTTGTCAGGGTAGGTTAATGGTTGGACTTGATGATCTTAAAGGTCCCTTCCAACCTCAGCAATTCTATGATTCTAAGTAGGTCTAAAGCACTAACTCAGCTTAAGACAGTTTTACTACATACAGCTACTTACACAGTAGTTTGCACCCTAATTTTAAATCCCTCATCCCCAACTGATGACCTTACAGGTCTTTTCCAGACTAGGAGATTCTGTGAGTCTGTAATGAGTCTGAAAGGAGCCAGAGGGCTGCGGAATGGGTGCAAGGGGAGCCGGGGGCTGTGGGGAGGGCTGGCAGGGATGGTGTGGTGGCAGCAGTGGAGGGACAGGTGTCTGCTCCCATGCCATGGGGACAGAAAAAGCCCTGAGGCATCAGACTTTTTTCAGAGAACCATGCCAGGCTCAACACATCCATTTTTTCATCAACTCTTTCTGCTCCTGTCCTTGGCGATGCCTTGACAGCCCCAATGCAAACCAGAAGACTTTCACCAAGAAAATCAGCGTTTCCATTACAGATGCTGGCCGGGAGGAAGCGGCGCTCTCGGGCAGGAGATGAAGAGCCGGGACGTGGGTCCCCCGCGGCAAGGGGGAGCTCCTGCTGGGGGGCCGAGCTGGGCAGGAGGGGGTGCGAGCCCTGGGGATGTCCTCGGTGGCCAAGCATGGGGACAGCAGCGCCGGGCACTGGGCAAACACCGGCGCAGGTCAGCGCCCAGAGAGGAAACGTGGGCTGGAAGGTGATACAATCAGTGAAAAATGTGTTCTGCGAGAGAGGAAAAATAAATTTTCATGGTTGCTTATAGAGCTAGAAACGAAGGTTGAAAATTTTAGGAGAAAAATCTTTCAATCCCTACTCGGACATCCCAGTCACCAGGCGGTGGGGTGGGGATGTGGGTCCAACCCAAGAACTGCTCAGAGCGACCTCGGGGGTCTGTGGAGACCGGGACGGCCTCACTGCTGCAGGAGTTGCGCAGAGGGAAATTCTGCGGACCTGGAGCCGGGTTTGGCCGCGGTGAGGCTGGCAGGGCAAGAGCCGCGGCTCCGTTGCCACGTCACAACACCTGGCTTTGCAGCAAGACATGAGGGAATCCGTATTTTCCTCATGGAAGATGATAAAAAGGAGGGAAAAAAATTGCATTTCTAAGTCAGCTACTGCCCACAACAGCCAAGATAAAAAAGTTAAGAAGCATTTACCAGGCTCAAACTCATTTTAGCGTCTCACAAAGACACGCCTGCAATGGTTAAGGAGCTCTACCAACACCAAGTGCATCCGCTTTGCTGGAGCTAATGCCTTTGAGGCCACCAAGTCCATAAATACGCAGGATAGCGAGCTGCCATTTCCCAGCTCCGCTCCGACACAGACCTGCAGCAGCAGGAGGAGATAAAGCAGCTTTGTGTGTCGGTGTTCACGGTCAGTGGTGACAGCAGGGGCCAGTCTGCAAATCTGCAAAATGGGCCAGTGCCTGCACCGAAATGGAAAGTATGCACGGTATCGCTTGACATTTTCTAGATATACAAGTTTATATAATTATGACAAATAGCGGATTTCAATTACTGCAACTTTCCTGTAAGTAAAAGCTGGAAGTTTCTAAGAACTATTCTGACTAATGTGGTGCGGCTCTTGGCTGCGCTACGGCTGGAAAACAAAAAAAGCCCTTCATCACACGGTTGTGACTGCAGCTGATAAATGCCAAAAAAA